TGTTCTAGGCTTAAAAATTATAGTTCTTAAGTATGAATCTTATACCATCATCCGTTCTGCCAAAATTCGTAGAAAATCGATTTTCCAGCACCCGACGTCAAGAGTAAACATATGCTTTCTTCCTTGTTCCAACCGAGCCCTTTTTGTTCTGAATTGTTCTAGGCTTAAAAATTATAGTTCTTAAGTATGAATCTCGTACCACCATCCGTTCTCCCAAAATTCGAAAAAAATCGATTTTCCAGCACCCGACGTCTAGAGTAAACACATGCTTTCTTTCTTGTTCCAATCGAGCTCTTTCTGATCTATGCTGGTCTAGGTTTATGAAATATCAAGAAACATAAAATATTTTTAAAACAGTCGTGCAAAGAGATTGATACTATTGCAATGTTATAAAGCCAAAGAAATATATCTTACCATATATATTCTTTATTATTAGTTCATATATATATATACTTTATATATACCATTTTAAATAAATTTATATAAAAAATCTCATATAATATTATATACCACTCTCTAACACATGTTGCGTGAATGCTTCTCATTATATACTTATCCTATTAGCCGTAAAAACGTGATTTGGATAGTGCCAGACACAAGTGATTGATATTACACCATTATTGTTAAATCATCATTATAGGCAATAAAGTACATAGATCTCGATTCTTCCACTTCTCACCAGTCTTATGCAAATTCGCGCTTAGATGATTACCATTACCCTTTTCTTCTCTAAACATTAAAAAATCTCCTATTATTACTTACTTAAAGGGTTGTATTCATAGTCCGGTCTTATATTTAAGATCGTTTTAAGTTCATCTTCAGATGCTGAACGGATCATTTCACTGGCTACAGAATATTTGAACATGAACTTAAGACGGTCTTAAATATAAAATCTGACTATGAATATCGGCCAAAATCTAAGTTTCGTATAAAGTTTTCATTAAGGAAAAATCGTATTAGAATTCACTCACGAACATTTTACTTTAAAAACTCGCCGTTTCCAATTATCTGTATATACCGGGTGTTTTAGACCACACGGGTCAGCTAATTTTTTCGTAAATGCGACATTTTGAAGAAAAATATTTCAGACTAAAGTTGTAGGGCCTCAAAGACTCTATTTACAGATGCTATAAATTTGACCTTAGGATGATCTTGAAAAGCCTAGTCAAGATCAACATAAAAATCTTAAATGGAAACTCAAATTTTTTATTATACCATCTTTTTTACCAACTAATTTGAATAACTTTTGTCTAAAACATTTTTCTCTAAAATGTCGCGTTTACGAAAAAATCGAGTAAACCGGGTGGTCTGAAATACCTGGAATATAAACACCCACGTTCTGGAAAATTGATTCTTTTCCGATTTTTTTGGAAAAACGGATGACGATGCGAAATCTATATTCTAGAACCATATTTCATAAACCTAGACCAGCTTAGATCAGAAAGAGCTCGATTGGAACAAGAAAGAAAGCATGTGTTTACTCTAGACGTCGGGTGCTGGAAAATCGATTTTTTTCGAGTTTTGGCAGAACGGATGACGGTACGAGATTCATACTTAAGAACTATAATTTTTAAGCCTAGAACAATTCAGAACAAAAAGGGCTCGGTTGGAACAAGGAAGAAAGCATATGTTTACTCTTGACGTCGGGTGCTGGAAAATCGATTTTCTTCGAATTTTGGCAGAACGGATGATGGTACGAGATTCATACTTAAGAACTATAATTTTTAAGCATGGAATAATTCAGAACAGAAAGAGCTCGGTTGGAACAAGAAAGATAATATAAGTTTACTCTTGGTCCGGTAGACTGTCAAAAATTTTTTTTCATATTTCGGACTTATAGTTCACCTTACGGATTTGTCCTTTTGGAACAATCTTTGGAACAACTAGAACAATCTATAGGGGTATCGAAATGTTCGATTTTCGAAAAAAGGGGTGCCAGCTCAAAAAATTATTTTTTTTGTTTTATTCGAAAACCGTTTGGAATGGAGCAATATCACTTTGGCACAATGTAGCACAAAGTCAGAACAATCTGGAACAACTTTCAAAATTATAAATTTCGAAAAACGGGGTGCCTACTTCATACTCCCTCGGTCGAGCGGGCTATTTCCTCGTCTCGCATCGCGTTGCAAAGGCGAGAGCGGCGCCGCCGCTCGCTCGCTCGCGGCTTTCTTGTCCTTTCCGATGGGCCCGCTAATTGGGCCGGTCTGCGAGGAAACAGATTGAAACCGGAAAAGTAGGGGCGCGCGACTGATGCGTCACACCAATTCCCGTCACCGCTAACCTAATTCGACTCTCCCACCGGTAGCGCCGTAATAGAGTGGAATTAACGGCCGCGGTGCTCCTGAAGCATGCTTCTTATTTTAGCATCGTTACGTCGCGGTAGCCCAGACCCGACGGTATGTACCACCATTCGGCCCCTTCGCCGCCAGCACCGTGTCGCACCTCGCGTCTGTCCGCCGGAGAGAGAAAACTGCAACTTCTCTCATAATAATGAAAAATTCATCCGTTGACCGTCCATTAAAATTCCGCACTCACACAGAAACGGCGCGAAAACGGGATGGAGCATCGCGCCGACGGGAGAGGGTCCGCCGCGGGAGGGAGGGAGGGAGGAGGGGAACAAGAGAAAGAAACGCGCTAGGTACGAACCTCGTGACATTTGCCGTGGAAATCGGAGCGATTTCCCGTGGAAAACAGATCCGTGTCAGTGGGTGAATATAAATTAACGTCGTCGGGATATTTGGCGTATGCTCGTTTTAAACGCGCCGAGCCCAGGTCGAACGTTCAAACGTCGTCGCGCATCTCGGACATCGGCGCGATATTACTGGCCCCGGGCGGTTTACCGGTAGCTGATCTTTAACGGTGCCTATTGATTTCCAGCGGCAAAACGCGCCTCGGCTAATAATAGCCGGATGTATCTTAGCGTCGCCGTCGACCGACCAATTGGGGATCAGCAGTCGCTCTCGCCATCGGGAATAACTGATTCGCAATTTTTCCGATCCCCTGCCATTTAAGCCTGGTCGGCTGGTAAAAATAGCGCGAGTTACCGTTGTTTCCCGCATCGCGGACCGGCCAGCTGCAGGCAGAAGTCTGCGACAACATCATTCCCGTCGTTAGCGACATCCGGTGCGCGATGGAACGATACCGCGCGCCGATGGGATATAATTGCCCGGTCGCGAACAAGCAGAGATATCTCGTCCGGGGGTTAGGGGGGGGGGGGGAGGAAATCAACGACGAGAGCGCAGAGGGCGACTTTTCTCAGAGACGAGACGAGACTTGGCGAGCGCGCGAGTATCGGAGTACACCGCTTTTAATGTTTACTTCACGCGTCATCGACTCTTGGCCGCGGCATCTCTCGCCCGGAAAACCGGGGCGCTCGTAATTCTCGCCAAATATCTCGGAACAAACAGATCCATTCGAGACAGGACGCCGCCGCGGGATTTGTATCTTGTTTGCTAGAGGAACTACTTTTTCGCCGCGCGCGGACCCACGCGCGCTCGCTGCAATTCCGCTGTTTTCCTCCCCGTCCTCGCCGTCCCCGTCGTCGTTCCACGCCGACGTCGGAGCGCTGCACGTGGACGTGTTTGCGAGGCGCAAGTTTTCCGTCTCTTCTAAATCATCGGCGAAAGTTTCGAGAGGCGGCTTCGCTCGCTCTCACCACCGTCGTGAGTTCGGATTACATCCGCCTACTCAACCCACCTGCCGTTGATTCGTTAAAAATGTATCCGTGACTGTGATTGAGAAACTCGCGAGTGATCCGAGCGAGCTAACAGCCCTCCCCCCCCCCCCGCGTCGCCCGCCGCCGCTTCAACTTTCCCGATCAATAAAAAGCGAGAAAAATTACAGCAATATCGCGCACAAGTTGGATCGCGCGTCGTCGTCGTCGTCGTCGTCGACGGGGGAGAGAGCAGCCCTCCGCGTCCTTACGCAAAGGGCCGCGCCGGGAAGGACGAAATCGACAGGGACCGAGGTCGTGTGCGAGCGCTCGTCGATTCATTGGAGCCCGGCCGTCACGGAGCCTTTAAACCGTTAAAGCCATCGATGCACCGGGCGACTACGCTTTGTTCGAATCTCAGACAGAGACACGTTTCGTGCCTCGGGCCGAGCGTTCGCTTCCGCTCGACGTTTATTGGTTTTTGCGCTTTGTCAGAAATTTTCTCCGCGGATTCACCGCCGCCGCCGCCGCCGCCGCCGCCGCCGCCGCCGCCAGCAGCAGCATCGTGTCAGCTCGGTCTGCGACCAATTTGCGCTCGATTTTGCCGCTGCTTTCTCCGCTCGCGCCTCGGAGCCGCGAGACGGGGAAGCGGAGTCGAAGGATTGGATATATTTTCTCTCCGCTACTCCTTTTCTATCGACGACGAGGAGCAGGCAGGAGCGCCAGAGACTCCTACCTCGCCGGCGGTGCATAAACCGCACGTGCACGTCCGTAAAGTACATCATCGCTACAACGTAATATCGCGTCCACGTAATACCGTATCCGTGCATACATTAATCCCATGCCTCCGCGCAAAAAGTGCCTTCGACCAAGTTACTTTGGTTACATAAATTATATCCGCCTCGTATCTAATAATTGCACCTGCTCTCGGGGGAGGGGGCGGCGGCCAAGGGTGCGCACACGGTGCCGGAATACGAGAGCGCGCGAGAGGGAGGGAGAGGGGAGAGGGGCATTGTTTTGAGTGAATTATTTTGCGTCGCGCTGGTAACGTAGCGCTCAAGCCAAAGTGAATAATGGCCGTTATTAATTAATTAATTATTTTATGCACCGACGTGTTGAAGATATCTCAGCGTTGCTGAGCGACTGCTGACAGACCCGCCCCATTGTGCTGTTTTCCACAGTGCTTGTCAACAATGTCGCAGCCTCGACCGTGCTGCCGGGTTGCGAGCCTCAAATGTGCCCCTGTCTCTCTCTCTCTCTCTCTCTCTCTCTCTCTCTCTCTCTCTCTCTCTCTCTCTCTCTCATTGTGTTATTTGTACGTGTAAATAACCGCGTGTGGTGGTTTCAGGAGACTACCGGCCAATGGGTCGGCCTGAACCTGGAGCTGGAGATGAGGGGCACCGAGGTCGTCGGCACGAAGAAGCCGACGGGTCATTCCCTACTGATTGACTGCCGGCTGGAGCTGCCGTACGGTAAGTGACAGCACGATTCCAGCAGATTATTCAAGTGGTAGATGATGAGATCGCATGTCTGACGTATGTAATCGTATACGAGATGGGAATACGTTTGACGTACAGTTTATATATCAGTGTCGTCGTGTCAAGCGAGCAGGAGATCCGAGCTGCGACGAGCAGGAGCGCGCGCTCGCCCCTCGCGCCGACTCCTCGGCGAGTGTGCTCGCCGCGCAGACTTCGCGCGGCGATTTCTCCATCGCGAGCTTGCGCGCGATGGAGGACGATGGAAGCCTCGTCCCTCTCTCGGGCCTGATATCGCGCCGGATATCGGCGGCGCGACGTCGCATCCCCGACCTGCTGCTCGCTCACTCGCTCCTAACCGTCCCTTCGAACGCCAGCATGACGTTCTGATATTCGCGCCATGATTTCTGTCAAGCAAGACTAAGATCAAAAAGAAAAGCTCCGTCGCGCGAAGCGGCGGCTCTCGCTCTTTACCGCGCGGTGTTCACGAGCGCGAACACGCACGACTGCTAAGAGCGCTTTTTCCCCGCGGAGAATCGCCGTCGATCGGACCTCGCCTTCCGATTTTACGACAGACGCGGCTTGAAACTCGTCGGTTCGTGGTAGGAGAAGTAAACCTGGGAGAGAAAGAGAGAGAGAGAGAGAGAGAGAGAGAGAGAGAGAGAAAGAGAGAAAGTGAGACAGACGAAAGCCTCTAGCTCGGGAGTTGCGAAATATCGCACGTTCGCGCGAATCGATTGATGAGGCGCGCGAGGATCGACGGGATAGATTCGCAGGATGCAAGAAAATGGACGGGAAGCCCGTCGTCGTCTCCAGCACGGCTGGAGAGCTGTTCCCGGTCTGTGCAGCTCACGTCGCTGCTACGGGACGAACTTTTAATTGAGTACGTTTGCGAACTTGTCGAATCCGGACGTTCCGCGCTTCATGTTCCACGCAGCCACGCGCCTCGCGAGTTATCTCGACGTCCGTAGTTTCGCGCGAGAACGGCGACTAGCGCGAACTAATGAAACGACGAGAGAGCGCGACTCTGCTGCCGGTGCTGCAGCGGCGACGCGAATAGATAGATTCTCGTATGAAACGAACGGACGAATGAAAAAAACCGCCCGGTTGCCTTCCCTCCGCCGCAAAGTTCCGCGCGTTTCCCGTCGCCTTCTTGCCAGCCGCGGCGGAATTTCAAGCGCCGGTCGTTGTATTTCTTAACTTGAAATTTCCACGCGCTTAAAGTCTCCCCGGGGGACATTCTCGGCCGAGAGAGAGAGAGAGAGAGAGAGAGAGAGAGAGAGAGGGAGAGAGAGAGAGGGGGGGAGAGGGGAGAACGGGAGGAGAAGCGCTACGCGCTGGGGGAAAGCTGCGGAGTCTCGGACGATTTTTGCAACTTTTAATATCACGGCTACACGGCTTCTCTCTCGCTCGCTCGCTCGCGGTCCTCCGTGTGGTCCTCGTTACTCACTTGGGGCATTGGTCAAGGCCTCGAAGCTTGTCCCAGGGGCGTTCCTTCGTGAAGAGGCCGGTTATCGCGACACACCCGGAATTTAGCCAGAGTTTTCGGCAGCAACAAGTACGACTTTTTCAAGCCTCGCATACATACATATTAAATACACGCGGTAGGTGCCTCTCCCATACACTCCGCCGTTCCCGAGGGACCGCTACGTGATCCTCGAACGACCCTCCCAGGGTCCCGGGGATGGCGTGTTTTCACCTACTGCCCGGTCGTCGACATATCCAACGATCGATATGCTATCGACCTAGCCCGACGGTTCTCGAAAAGGGGCTAATCGCGCGCCACGCAATTTGCTGGATCGCGCGAGATTCGCGCTGCCGAATATCCGGCGGATTTTCGAATGCGCGCACGGCTGTTGGTGGTGGTAGTGGTGGCGGTCGCGGTGCCTGCTAGAGTGTGGTAGTGCCGGTGACGTTTTTATAATACCCCGCGCGAGCAAGTCCGGCGAAGTCGCGTTAAAGGCTCCCCGCTTGACGATAAAGTACGTGCGATATGCGCGATTCGGTCTCCGTATGTAAATTTCTGCTGGTGGGGTTTATTTCTGGGGGAGAGAAAAAAGAGCAAAAGAGAGAGAGGGAGAGAGAGGGAAAGAGAGAGAGAGAGAGAGAGAGAGAGAGAGAGAGAGAGAGAGAGAGAGCTTAATAGTATTTCGATCGAGTCTTTTCTTAACTCCGAAGCTCGGGTCCCGCGACGGCGACGACGAACAGCGAATGAGCGTTCCACGTTCCACTAAAGGTGCAAATTATTTTCCACCACGCGATGCACCACTTGACCGTGTTGCGAAATGAGGGAAAACGAGGCCGCTTATAATAAACCCTGTAACGTACAGCTCCAACGTCAGCTGACGTTTCGCCGTGTGCGGATCCGTCGCCGGGTGCCGTTCTTTTTCTCCCTCACTCCGCCCTCTCCTCTCTCTCTCTCTCTCTCTCTCTCTTTCTCTCTTGCTCTCTCGTTCTCGCTCATGCACGCTATTATTTTTTCGCGCCATGTTTCCCGTCGCTGCCACTGCCGCGTGTACTTCCGGTTTTCGACCCACGCCAACCGCGGCGTTTAATGGATTTTTGCCGCCGCGCAATGTACATTTCCCGTCGTGTAATACCTTTGTTATTGACTTTGCTCGAGAGCACGTAAAAGCGACGTTAGAGAGAGAGAGAGAGAGAGAGAGGGGGGGAGAGAGTGTGTGTGTATGCGCGCGCGCGTGTTTCACTGCGGAAATAAGACGAGGCAATACGAGAATCTGGTCGTGGAAAAATCAAGAGGATCCTCTCGTGGAAACTGACGTGCGCGAACTCGAGTAAACGCGCGCGTGGAACAAGAGGCGCTGATTAAGATTCGTTCGAGGAATAGGTTGTTTATCGGAGTGTACATTCTCTCAGTGCGTGGCGCGAATAATAAAATTTCCGCGAGATTACAACGCGAACTTTAAACGCTCGACACTTGGTAATGCGATTTCTGTTCGCACGAAATTGCGGCTAATTATCCGCCTGTTAAACGGATTAACGTTGCATTTGCGTCACGGCGTATGCGACTTTTGCCAGTTGCGCGACGTAATTTCCCGCCACCACTTTCTCACCCTTCTCTCTCGCTCTCTGTCTCCCCTCTCCACCTCTTTCTCGCTTTCTTTCAATTCTCTTTCTCTCTCTCTCTCTCTCTCTCTCTCTCTCTCTCTCTCTCTCTCTTTCTCTCTATTTCTGACTTGACTGAGGGAATTGATGAAAAGCTGACGGCTGCTGGCGGAAAAATTTGATCGCGGTCGTTCGAGCTGGTACTTATCCCTCGGAGTTTCCAACGATCGCGAAAGAATCATCGCGAGTATCTATCGCCGTAATTTGACGAGGAGGAGAGTGCACAAAGAGAGAAAAATATTGGTCTTGCGCGCTGTGTCGAAACCTCTTCTTCGCGTCCCTCCGACGTGACTTTTCGTTCCGGTTGATTATTTTACGACATTCCTCTCGCGCGGACACGTGGGACCTCCCGTCGCTTTTCTTCCCTCAGCTCCGAACGTGCTTCTTACCCGCGGATTCTTTAATCGGCTCGTAGTCGGTGTATTTTAGCGGCAGCACAAAAGATATGACTCTCTTCTCGTTTAACTCCGAGAGTACTCGAGCGGAATTCTAATTCAAGAGCTAGTCACAAAGATATCCGCCGTTGAATATTAAAATATGAAAAAGATGTTTGATCGGCTTTTCGTTAAAGGCCAAGATTCTAAATTGATGAAGAATCCACGAATGTGTGTGTGTGTGTGTGTGTGTATGTGAGAGAGAGAGAGAGAGAGAGAGAGAGAGAGAGAGAGAGAAGGAGAGAGGAGAGAGGCCTCCGGGAGAAACAGCCGGCATACGATTTTCATCGCGATCGCGTCGGGCGGCGAGGAGCAGGCGGGGAGAGGAGAGAACTCGCGCGTGAAAAGCGTCGGACGCGAATTCATGGGAACGCGCTCTTGGCAGTCGCGTCGGCGCGCGATGATGTTACCACGCGTTGAGGAGCGGTGAAACGATGGACATGATCGCCACTCGAATCATGCACATCCGACCCTCCGTCTGATCAGTGTCTGACCAATCAGGAAACAAACGCGTACAACGAACTGGATGGAAAGCCCTGCTAACGAGCGAAACAGCAATGCAGTTGCGAGCAGCCCGGCCCATGTGTGGCTCAGGTACCCTCGTCGAGATCCTGATCGCAGGATCGTCCTTGTTCGCGAGATCTCCATTTTCGCTTATCGTCTCGATTCCACGACCGATGCATCCGAGTGCCATGTGATGAAGTCCCCGCCGATCGTGGATTCGCGTCTCGCGCGCTTCCCGCCGATTAACGGGCTTTCGCGATTCCCCGTCTCGTCGGGCCGGCTAATTAACCGCCGCCGCGTCCCAATTTGCCCGAAACAAGCGAGATGAGCGTTCTCACGGACGACGATTTTTCACCGGGCTGCCGCGTCATTCGCACGGGGGATCGTCGTCGTCGCCGACGACGTGATACCGCGCGATGAAATTACGCGTCGCCGAATCTCGCGGCGATCGCTCGCCTCGCTTCGTTTCGAAGTCAAATTCCAACGTTGCGCGATACCTTCAGCCTTCGGCATACGAAGGATCTCGTACAGACCCCGCGCTCGAGATCCCGAAGATTGTCGACACGCCTGTCCACGATCCGCGCGACCGACAGTATATTCATTTTATTTGTACGCAATTAGCGTTATATATATTATAACGAACCCCTTCTTGCTCGTCAATCACTGCACAAGAATCCACTCTGTGTCTCTCTCTCTCTCTCTCTCTCTCTCTCTCTCTCTCTCTCTCTCTCTCTCTCTCTCTCTCTCTCTCTCCTCACCTCCGAAGATACCTGGGCTTGTCTTTCTCTCGGCGTACGGCGTTCCTTCTCAGTGTACTTGCAGGAGCGCGCGAATTTCGACGTGTAACAACGGCGAGGAGGAGCGTCCGTGACGATTACGAGCGCGTGGAGGTACCTCCGGTTTATCCCGCATGTCCGTATGTCCGTTTCTCTCGCGAAATAGAACTCGCCGAAAAACGCGTTCGGGGGCATTCAGTTTTATCCGGCGCGCCATCCGTCGTCCTCTGGATATACCTTTTGTCTACCACCAGCGCTCCCCTCGGCTCGTTTCATTAAGTTAAGTGTGGCAGTTTGCTTTTGAGCTTTATGTACGTGCGTGTCGAGCGGGGGAGCGGGGTGTATTTCGCGCGCGGGCGGGGGGGTCGCGAAAGGGGGGTGGATCGGCGGGTGGTCACGCGACCAGAAGTTGTTCCGCTCGTTAACGGCGGACTTTGATATGATTTCATGCCTGATTAACCGACTTTAATTACGACATCGCGGCGGTGGCGGCGTGTGGGTGTTTGTGTGTGTGTGTGTGTGTGCATATGTGTGTGTGTGTGCGCGCGCGCGCGTGTGTTACTAGAAACCTACTAAAAGTTTTCGCCACCTGCGACGCGTCGGCATCGCTCTGATGAAATCACCGGCGTTACCACGACTTCGCGTTGAATCTTCCGGTCTTTCCGCACGAGCAAACCCTTTAGTCTCGCTGGCGATACGATCGTATTCGCATTCGTCGGATCGTCTCGCTCGCTCGATCGTCGATACGTCGGGAGAACGCGACAGTCGCCGCCGCGCCGGGGGGGGGAACAAGCGCCCAGCATCTCTCCGCCCTCCGAAAACGATCCCGCTCCCTTCAGCCGCCACCTGTAACCCTTCACCAGACCACTACGTGTGAATATGTCATGTGTGAGTTTAGCGAAAAAAAGAGATGGGATGTTCGATGTTTCTGCTTTCACGTGTTTTCTCCTTGATTGCCCTCGTTCGGCGCGCTATTGTTATCCTATTTTGCCGGGACGGAGGAGAAGGGGAGAAATGAAAGGAAAGAAAAGGGAAACAGCGAAAGGAGACGCAAAAAGGTATTTTGCCGCGCGGCCGCGGTTGAAGCAGTCACCGAACGTCACGTGCCTTGGAGAAACGAGCACCGTGTTCTTGAGTGAGCAAAGCACGTAGCGATCGAAGCGAGAGCAAGACTGATATTTAGCATCGATGGGAGGAAACGTACGAGGGAGGACAGAGAGCGATTTCTGTTCGGTGGGTGCCGGCACGACGACGATTTTCGAGTCGACAGGACGTACGCTCGCATTCGGCTTGATTCCGAAATTGCGTTTACCTCAGGGGAGGGGGGGGGGGGGGAGAGTTCATCCGCGCGTTATCAAATATTTGTTGATTGTCGCAACAATATTCTCTTTTCGCCGTACGATCGATTATTCGCTGCTCCTCTGTCTCTCTGTGTTTGCAATTTCGAATCATTTTCGTTGGCTCTGTCACACGCACTGATGGATATTACGTAACAGTAAGCTGCATCACTCCTCAACATACGTACTCAACATAACTCGGTCGCAACTCGTTCGCTGAAGAAAGTTTACGTAACTGTTCGATTGCTTGATTGAGGAGGAGACGAGTCTCGGATACGCGGTATTTCGGCAGAAATATTGTCGCCGTTTAAAAAGCACGCTCGCCGTGACCCTCCATCCCGTGGTAGATTATTATTACCAGTGTTTGCGCGACATCTTCTCTCTCTCTTTCCCCCTCTCTCCCGTCGAGTTTTGATCCTGACGATCAATCGGACGTGAGCTTTACGTTTCGATGAAATAAATGCCTGCAAACAGCGCCCCTCCTCCCATCACCCCGCCACTTTCACCTCTGTCACTCTTTCTCTCTCTCTCTCTCTCTCTCTCTCTCTCTCTCTGTCTCTCTCTCTCTCTCTCTCTCTCTCTCTCTCTCTGTCGGCGGGCGCTGTGTTTTTGCGTGTCACTTTCGTTTTAATTGATCGATATTAATTTGAATTGACCGAAGACAAAGGAGACCTCCTCTCTTCAGGTACATTTTCTTTTTTTTTTCTTGTGAGCACACACTTACTCCTCCGGAGCACCATCGCACGTGCACGCAGTGGCGCGGCGATAGCACAATACGGGGGGATTCCGGATGAATGAAAAAAGAAAAGAAGGGAAATAACGGGAAAAGAAGTAAACAAGAAAGGAAAAGAGAGAGATCGGAGATTCTCTGTTGCTGTTCGATTTCTGTGTTGTTCTTTCAAGTATCGATACATGAAAGAGAGGGTACCTGCAGATACATCAAGCTATGGCTGCGACACTGTAATTATCGACTGTCTGTAGACACTTGCCCCCCAGCCCCTCTTGTACACTATTTCTCTTTCTCTTTCTCTTTCTCTCTCTCTCTCTCTCTCTCTCTCTCTCTCTCTCTCTCTCTCTCTTCTCTCTGTCTAGCATTACGTAATTATAATACACACACACACACACACACACACACACACACACACACACACACATATATATATACACATACATGCGTATCTTGTAAATTAGTCATACACGAGAATTGTGCTATGTCATTAGCGACATTAACGTCAGAATCACAAACGTACCACGATGGGGGAGCAATGCCGTTCTTAGTGGTTAGTACAACGTCCATCGTTAAGTACGAAATCCGACGGGTGTGACGGGGGAATCCTTAGTTCAATCTTATTCAAGCATGAGCAAGCATCGTGAAGTATGTATCTATTCTTTTCTTCTCTCCGCGACTCCGTTCTTCCGCACAATGAAGACATTACGTACACAGAGTACATTTCGAGAGGAGAGACATTTCGAAAGGGCGTCGAGAGATAAGTTGGCCGTTTATTCAGTTCCTCTCGAAAAGTTTCCCTCGCGTCGCGTCGCGTCGCGTCGCGTCGGGAACGGGACGGTTGTTGCCGCGGGCGCCGCGAATTTTCGCGATCGTCGTTATCGCGAATTCCCTTTGCGAACGCGAACGCGAAGAATTGTCATCGCAATCGGCCCGAAATCTCGGGCGAAATTTATCGAGGAGAAAGCGAGATTGCGGGACGTACGTGATCAACGGGCGTACACATTGCTCGAATTTGCGCGCGTTCGAAACATGGGGACGAATTCCTCCCCCCTCCTTCGCGAATGTTCGAGCGAGACGCACCGATCTCGCGGAAGGGAAAAAAGCGCCGTGGGAGGATGCGAAGCCTAGTTGTAAAGGAGAGTCCTTTCGAGCGTAATTAACATATAAATTAAAAGCGACGCCAGCTTCCCAAGAAAGCAAAGTATATTAATTAGATGTGTTACGGGCAACGTATAGCAATTGTGCATTAGACTCCGCGCATAAGTATTTAATAAGTTGAAACAATTTTGTAAAGCAAATGCGTCTGGACATCTGTTTTACATAATGCACTTTCAGCCAACTTGTACTTTCGACTGAAATGCCGCGGTATCCTCGCATTTCACAACGGCTTGATTAATCTTATGAATAATTCATGATTTCTCATTCTGCGAGAGCGTTAATAGAGTTGGCAAATTCTCGCGTCCGTTACTCAGGCAAACGGAGCCGTTATTTATTTACCGCAAAAAGTACGCGGGGGCTCGTGGGGGGGAAGGAGGAGGCGGGGAGGGGGAAGGAAGTAATTGTTTGGGAATTGCAAGCGTAAGTGGCTTTCACGCGGGCGCGAGGAAAGACCTCCGTCGCACATTGTGAGCTGACGCTTCACCGCGCTCCTCTCTTCACCGCGAGAGAGCGTACGGGATTAGAAAATGGCAGTAGCCTTTACCTTCTAATCTCACGGCGATCGACGTCCGGAATACGGTATCGCGCTCACGTACGCCACGACTTTCCCGCCTGCGGCGAAGCCGTGGGACATTCAAAACGGACTAATTACACGCTCCCGCCCGGAGGCATGAGCACGAGGCCGCAAACGAACGGGCAAACCGGATATACGGGGTTAGAGATAAAGGCGACAGCGGGTGATGAGTAGAACGAGAGAGAGAGAGAGAGAGAGAGAGAGGAGACGACCTTCGGGGGCTTTAACTCCCTCCCCCCAGTAAATCCTCACCTGTATCGCTCGCTGGTATATAAGGCCGTCGTCCGCGCCCGCCCCTCCGCCCCCCGAGTAGAATGCTTCACGGCTTCGCTTTTGGCACTCTCGTATAGCGGGCGATACGCCCGCTTGAAGATAAAGCGATAATGGTATTGGACTTTTTAACCGGCCGGATATATCGCAGCCGATCGATGGCGCCGTTGAAAGGCGCGCGAGATTAACCGTGCGTATTAATCGAGCGTTACATGTTACGCGCGCGATAGACGAACGCATACACACACACACACACACATACACTCGGTCGCAGGTACAATTGTCTCGAGGGGATTCACGAGCAGAAATTTACTTCCTCATCGTATTAATTCTCCCGCGAAGGCGCGCGCGAGCGAGCGACAAGAAGAATGATAAATCGCGTCGAGAAGATTCGAGAGTGTTCCTCACGCGAGTCGGTTTTATATATATATTGAGACTCGGAGAGTCTCTCTCTCTCTCTCTCTCTCTCTCTCTCTCTCTCTCTCTCATCGTTTACATCCAGGCGACGTCGGATGCCCATTCGAAGCCAGCCGAGACAATTCTTTCGCGTCGAGAAAAGAATCAATAGAATCTGCTTGAGAAACGCGGTAACGTGGTATAATTCCTTGGCGCGGCGCGTACACGAAGAAGGTGGGAACCGTCGGCGGCTTTCGGGTGCTCTATTGTGCGAAATTTATTTCGTTTCTTCGCCGAAATCTCGCCGAGAAAATACGGCTCCTCGTTCCGGAAGGTCGCACCCGCGAGTACGTATATACCCATCTGCACACGCACAAACACACACACACACACACACACACACACACACACACACACACACACACACACACACACACACACACACACACACACACACGTACACGCACACACATAGATATAGACGGCGCGTACGGGCGCGGAATCAAAGTGGAGCGAAAGGGAATTCCGCGAGTTCCCTCGCGGCTGCTTTCGACGAGAGATAACCGCCGCGCGTATCGAATGCTTAACACAGATAACACGGATAACATCGTCGAAATCCGCGATGAAAGGAAGTACGAGAGACTCGCAGGGGGCTACGGGGGCTACAGATATTCCCCTCCCCCTCCCTCGGCCGCATCCTCCTCTCTTTCCTCCCCTATCGAGCTACAACTCGCGCGAGCTCGTCGCCAATTATATTCAGCCGCGTTATCGGCACCGGCATTCCTAATTTAGCCGCGAGAAAGGTGAGTGACGTCCGATAGCGGGACGTAGGAAATAGCGGCCGGTAGCGGTATAGAGGAAGCATTTTGGGATAAGAGCGCGGAACGCGAGCGGGGACCGCGCGTCGCGATGCGCGTCACCGTCGTCGCTCAAAGTTTGTCAATATGTGGACGGCCAGCTGTTACGGTGGCGCCATTACCGTGGCCGCCCGCAGTTACATCGCATTTATTCCGCCGGGAAATTCGCTGGACACAGGGTAGGTGAGGGCGAGGGTGAGGAGGGGGGCGAGAGCGTATGTACGGGTATGGATACGTGGATCGTAGGCGAGGGATGCCGAGAGACACTTTTTCCCGCATCGTGGCGCTCGGGGTGCAGCTGACTGCGCTTTTTCTGGATATTTACCGAAGAACGACGACGTAGCGAAAGGGGAACGGGAGAGAGAGAGAGAGAGAGAGGGAGAGAGGGAGAGAGAGAGAGAGAGAAAAGAGTCGCCGCCGGCTGCTGCTGCACCGATGGGCCGCCGGGGAGGGCGACGAGGGGGAGGGCCGGCAGCAGGTCGAGGCAGAGCCGAAACTCGCGTCGTCGTCGGCGGCGGCCAGCGCGGTCCTCAAAAGGCGAGCGCGCTCGCTCCTCGCGCTACATGGCTTGACCCTTTTTCTAATTGCATCCGGAGGGGAGAAGCGCGCGAGAAACGGTGCCGGGGAAACAAAGGGAACAACAGCTTCTGTCTCCGCAACCGGCACGGCTGCGACCGCGACGATCCGCGACAGGCAAGATTCAGCAGAAATTGCACGGCCCAGCACCACCACCACGAGACACAGCGCGAGCGCGAAGCGCACGGAAAATGCCAAGCACGCGTGTCAAGGACACGCGTACGCCGTGAACGTGATCGTCGCAGGAGGATAATCGCGGCGACGGACTGCATACGGCAGACGAAGAAAGAGGAGAAGAAAATCAAAACTCGCGGCGGAAAAGTCAAACGCGAGGGGAAGAAGAAGAAGAAGAAGAAGAAGAAGAAGAAGATGCGCAGGAAATCCGCGTCTCGCGCGGAGGAGAAGAGCGACGAGCGCTGCTCTCTCGCTCGGGGACGCAACGCAGGGGAGGAGCGGTGACGCCCTTTCATCAACCTCGCGTACGTCTATCTCGCCGACTCTAACTAGCCGATCGAAGTTCCAGTTAAGCGACAGACTCGAGCTCCTCAGAGACATGGCGAGGACTCGAGAGAGCGAGGCCGGATATTGATGCACTCAGCGAGCGCGTGGAGCGAGCGCCGAGAGGCGGTCTCGTCGTTTTCTTCTTCTCCGCGCCGGGAAGTATCCTCCTCCCGCGACACCCTCTCGTCATTGTCGTCGTCGGAATATCGGGACGGGGCTAGGAGGGTGGGCTGGGGGAGGGCGAGGTGGAAGAACTCGCGAGATGGTACCCGTAATAAATCGGCCGGCAATCTAGCTGCCTGCCGGCGGCGGCGGAGTCATGACTCGGCAAAGTTTGCCGAACGGTCCTCGGGAGTTTGTTGGTTCAATATGTAATTACGAGCGGGCGAGAGCGGCGAGAGAGGCGGTCAACGACGCGCCGAGAGTTGATATCATTTGTGCAGGGTAATCCGGCGAGATCGAATGCACTCTCTCTCTCCCTCTCTCTCTCTCTCTCTCTCTCTCTCTCTCTCTCTCTCTCTCTTCCCCCCTCTTCTCTCTCTTTCTCTCCCGCTCTTCTCTCTCTCTCCCGCTCTCTCTCTTCCTCTCGTCACCGCGGACCACTTGAATTGTGCGCGATTTTCGAGCAATGTGTACGCACGAAATGCGAAACGGTAAAACCGTGGCCGCGCCCGCGCCCGCGCTCGCGATTGTCAAGCCGCGGTGAGACACAAACAGTACGATCACATTATACAAAACCGGACGACATAATCGTACAAATGTGTGAGTCCTCGTAGTTGTTCTTTGTCGCGAGCTCGTTATAGATATTAGTGGTTATTAATGTAGATACATGTACAATCTCACACAAAATCATACACATCACACACACACACACACACACACACACACACACACACACACACACACACGAACGATATAGTGGAGTCTTCTTGTGTTTATCTGTTCCATTCTGTTCCTTTCTCTTTTTCGTTTTCGTTTCCTTCTTCTTCTTTTTCGTCACGAGAGAGTCACACACACACGTATCTAAGTAAAACTTAGGATGACAGATCGACTGAAGACGTCAGATTGTCGAGACTCGCGATTAACTGTTTCCCTATCGATATCTATCTTTTCGAAAGACCCCGAGAACACGGAGACTGCCGATCTGCAGAGGAAGCTGGAAATGCTGAACAACATGATGGACCAGGAGGCGCGGGCCGAACAGGCACGAAGACAGATATTGTTCAATATAGGCCACTGTAAGTACCGCCAAAGTTACACTTTAGATGGCTGATATTTTATTTAAAAACGCTCTCTCGCGACCCCGAGAGAGAAACATCGTTCCCTTCGCCCCCAGCCCCACTCTAACCACCACCGTCCCCAAACGACGATCGATTATCTATCTTTCATCCGGCTCACTCGCTCGCTCGTTCATTGATTTTCCTTCACCGTCCGAGGATTTCGACGCGCGATGAATCCGCGAATCGGCCGTCTCTCTCGCGACGTGAGTGAGAAGAAAGCGGGAAATCACGAGGACCCTCGGTATATCGATCGTTCTCTTTGCACGACGACTCTCTCACAGAGTTAAAATAAATTGCATATATAACACATAACCGTTTCGATTTCAGTCTTATTCGTGAGGACTCTTCTGTGTGTGTATGTGTGTGTGTATTTACGCGCGTGTGTCCGTATGTGTGTGTGTGTGTGTGTGTGTGTGTGTGTGTGTACGTGTGCGAAACTGTATGTGCGCGTACGCAACGACGGATTTTCTACGTATCGTGCCTGACCTGCGACGTGTTCCAACTACTTGCTCGAGTCGCCGTCGCGCGCAACGAGTTCGCGCTTAACCCCCTTCTATTCTCACGCATTATTATTAGTGTTGTTGTTGTTGGTGTTATTATTATTATTATTATTATTATTGTTGTTGTTGTTGTTGTTATTATTATTATTATTATTATTATTATTATTATTATTTCATTTCGCGGAGTCACGTCCCTCCATACGCGCACCCCCGATATGGGACAATATTTACATCGCGAGCGTTAATTCGCTGCAGCCTGTACTACGTCACACGGCACTTTCATCGTCACACACGGATCATCTGACATACTTGCAGTATTTTTAGAAACCGTGGCTTTCTAGGTCGTTCGCTCGAACGCTACTTCCGAGTAAGTCATAAAACTTTTACACTCCTGTTTTTTCATGCGAGAAATCAATTTGTGTGTGGGTTCCGTGTGCCAGCAGCCCCTATCTCTACGATCGGCGGCTACGCGCGCACACGCCGTTGTTGTCTTACCCACGGAGAGTATGTAGCGAAATATTACCCTGGAGAGAAACGGCCATACGAGACCGCCCATTTCGTATGTGTTATCGGCTATCGACGTGTCGTCGGTAACTTACCACCGTTGTTACACACCCCCTTCTTTCTTAGCAACCCTTAGCAGCCCGCAACAGCTACGAGAAGGCAGCATGAGAGCAGAATAGTTTGTCTCTGTACTCTAATGAGTCGTGTTTAGCCAATTTCTGTTCCTCCTTTTTCTCCCTTTCTCTTCTCTCCCCCTCTGTCATACACAACAATATGCACACACACACTCTCTCTCTCTCTCTCTCTCTCTCTCTCTCTCTCTCTCTCTCTCTCTCTCTCTCTCTCTCTTCTCCCCTCTTTCCGTCTCTTCATCCCTCGCATTCTTCGCAAACGTCGGCAGACATACGTACCTTCCGTACGGTGATTTGCATTCCCTCCGGTGCAGGAAAATTGAAAGGAAAAAAGAGAAGGATGAAAAAGAGGAACAGAGAGCAGACACGAGAGCCGTAGGAGGAGATCATGATGAGATGCCTACACGACGATCAATTTGTCGCATGGCTGTTATAACTATGCCTATCTTGCTTCCTGCTATATTGCACCACTTCAGCCCCCGGATTTTACCGGTATCGACCAGTATTCCGTCTTCCGTCGGCAGGAAGTTGCGAAACCGCCGCGAAACGGCGAGCTTGTGAGATCGACTTGGCATTTTGTTCCGAGGAACAGCCGGACGCGTCGCGACGCACTCCGGCACTCCGGACAAGCACGTGAGCGTGAATTTCAGCGGGTGCTCGGTAAATCGTTAAGGCCGATCCGCGGCTCCCTCGGCGGCCTCTGAGAAACGCGTCTTAGGAAACGGAAGCCGAGCAAAGCGATCATCGCGAGCGGCGGATGCGGCTCGCATCCGCGTGACCGGCTGTCGCCGTTCATTCCGCCTCCGTCAGTTTTTCCGCGCGAATCTCGTATCGCGTCGTAGCGCGTCGTACTGCGACGTCAATCATAGTCTTTAGCGAACTAGCGGCTGAGCACAAGTTGTCGTCGAGCGACGTGGCCGAGAGCAAGACGCGCGCGGCGGGCTGCGGCGACGTCTCGCGCCGGCAAACGCGGGAACTTTTGTCTCGAGTGCGAGCGACATGAGGCGTCCGTTAGTGTTCTCCGCTTGCGATATATACGTATATATTACGTTCCATCTTTCAGCGGGATACTCGGAGGACTCCGACTACACGTCGGACTTGAATTTTCCAATAGGCGGACAGGGCGCGAACAGCTCGGCCTCGCAGTTTCGCACGGCGGCCAACCAGCTGGCTACGCCTCAGAGGTCCCTCGAGACGTCGAGAGAAAACAGTTACGAGAGGGACGATCATCAGGTATCGATTGAGCGCGGAATCGTCAGGTTTGCGCTCGGGACACTCGGGTCGGCTGTAGATGACGTGCGTTATCGAGCCGTACCTCGAGCGACTCGTCTGGGACTCTCTCTCTCTCTCTCTCTCTCTCTCTCTCTCTCTCTCTCTCTCTCTCTCTCCGCTTGGGAGAGCCTCAGTCGAGTCATTTGATCGCGGTAACGCGACGTGAGGGAGCAAACTCCGTCGCGCGACCGCGAACAATCAATGCCAAGAGAGACCGACCCGAGTGCTCGATCCGCCCGCACGCCGCTGATGCATGCGATGACTAATTGAAAGTGGATCGCACCTCGTTAGATCCCAGTGACCGTCGGTGGAAGACTAGCGCCCGGTAACTACGGGAGTTACAGCGGCTCGGGCCACAGTCCGAGGTACGACGAGCCGTATCCCGAGGAAGGTCTACCGCAGAGGTACTTGCAGTCCCAGCATCCCACAGAGTCTTCCGAGCCACTCTTCTACAACAGCAGACCGAAGCACTACAAGGAATACAGGTACTACAGGCACCGCATAGTCTGGATGTAATAATCACGAGGAAAAGCGTCGACCGATGTTTTACGTGCGATCGGACCCACGCGAACGGACGTCCGAGCACACCCTGCTCGGCTCCGTACGCGTGCTCGCGTTGCGTTGCTCGTGAACGCAACAGAGAGAGATGTACTTTCACGCGCGATACGTAACATTACGCGAGAGCGCGCGTAATCTTTGTTTAATCGCTAAGTTCGTCGTGAGTACGACGGAAGAAAACCGTTGATTATTTTCTTGCCTGATCCAGGCGACGGAAGCACACGTGGGATTACGAGGACAGGTACGGTAGGAGCGCGCCTATCTGCGGGTTTCGTGAGGATCTTCCACAGAGTGACTCTTATCGCAGCGCACACCCACCCACTCACGCATAGCGCGACTTATCAACCGCCATCCATCCATTCATCCATCATGTTTCGTTCCTTGCCGGCGTATAATCACGACATCGGCAGCGCGCATCGCCTCGCGCATTACCGCATTACCGCTGGGCTTCGGCTTTTCATTGCCATTGCACTCAATTAATCGTATGCAATTGCTCGACTCATCGATTGCGCGCGAACTGATCACGTCGAGCCGCTCGTTCGTTACAATGTAGGCTACTATCGCAAGCGCACTCACTTTCGCATTCTCACTGTGAATGCACGTGAAAATAAGATTCGTGCCTCTGATAAATGACTGTACTACACACACACATACACACGCACACGCACACGCGCACACACACGCGCACACACACACACACACACACACACACACACACACACATACACGGCTCACCTTAGTCTAGACGTGCCTCCGCCCACTGCAATTCAAGGGGAACGTAACCCTCGAGTCTCCCTCGTAGAGTTTTCAAGGGACGAAACGGCGAATCGCTGACATTTCTCGCGAACGACTCGCGCGTCACACGTCGAATCAGTAACCTAGTAACGATCGAAAGGACGCTGATTGATCGATTCACAGGCATTTGCATGATGCAGTTGTAGTAGACGCAACTGTTCATTCGACGAGGTCGATCGAAAGCCCCCTCTTGTCGTTATCACGAGTCATCTCATCCTCGGCTCAATCGCGCCCGCCTGGTGTGATCAAAGTCGTTTGATAACGATCTCGTGCTTTCAGCCAAGACGGCTGGTACAACGAGAGCTACGACTATCACGACGTCACGAAGGTCGATGACACGAGAATCTACAGCGAGACCGAGTACTGCACAAACAGCTCGAGCACGAGGAGAGCACGGGGCGGAAAAGGTACTAAAATCCCGACTCGTAAATGCATCGCGGATTATTAAAGAAAATTCTCGCCGCTTCTCCCCCTTCCCCCTCCCCCCTCCCCTCGCCGTTATTTCGCGCCTTTATCTTCACCTGCTTCTCCCCCGAGTTGCTCTCCCCATCGTTCTTTCGTTCCTGTTTCTCTCCCTCTCTCTCCCTCTCTCTTCCTCTCTCTCTCTCTCTCTCTCTCTCTCTCTCTCTCTCTCTGTCTTTGTGTTGAATTAACGTAACGTCAAATATCGCGTCGCGGAGGTGCTTCCGGCCCTTTGGCCGTTAGCTCGGTCCTCAGTTTTTATCGAGCGGCCGCCGCGAGATGTGCCCCGGCGAATGGAAATAAATGTGTGACGTCTCTTTCTCTCTCTGCCTGTGTTTTTCCCAAGCTGTACCGTACAGAAGACCGTCTCTGGAGAGACAGATGACCCTATATGACGATCACTCGTATTACGCTGACGGGTACAGCAACGACGGCAGAGTCGGCAAAATGAGCGCCACGTATCCAGAATGCGAGACGGATATTAGGTATAACGAGTACTACGACACCATAACGGGATACGTCTATCAGGACGAGAGGTAAGCCGGCTCGCTCGCGCGACGAGTGTCGCGAAGGGGGTGGGGGGGAAACGCACAAAAAAGAAGCGTGATGTTTGAGAGGCCAGTCGAGGCCGACGAGCAAGCTCAAGTTTTCCCATCTCTCTCTCTCTCCGCTTCTCTCTTCAGGTACGGCCAGGACGACGAGGACAGGCAGTGGGACAGCGGAGGGAAATGGTGCTCGGGAACGACGAGTACTTACTATGAAAATAAACGTAACAGAAAGACGCTTCCGCAACGGCCGGCCTCGAGCATCGGAATTCACCGGCCGGACTACAGGCCCGCCGTTACCCGACAGCGTAGCTACGAGTCGGAAGAGCTCGACTACAAGTATGTCTCGCTCGAGGGCTTGCGCTTTAGAGACCGTTCGTACCGCGAGGCTCCTCTGTCTCGTTGTTTCCGTTCCTCGAGTGCTCGAGGAATCGAGACTGCCGTCGCGAATTTTACAATTAGGACGCTCGCAAGTCGAACACGATGCGCCTACGCTTATCACTGATGAGAGAACACGCGCAATCAGGCTTCAATGAAATCTTAACATTTATTGGATCAAAACGCGTTAGCGATTCATTCGTCGTCGTTCGCGTCGCGTCTGGCTACAGTATGATATATGATACGACACGTTTATGCTGTGGATAGAACATGTCAATCTGTGTCAAAGGACACGTGAGATGAGAGCAATCAACAGTCACGAAACGTATCATGTACGCGTAACCAGGCACGACGGGCGAGACCGGTTACCAGAGACCACCGATGATTTTTAACCTGGTAAACGTTAAGGCTTCATCGAACCTTGGCTCAAAGGCCTCGCAGGGACGAAGAATAATCGTGTATTCGTTACTCTCCCGCAAGCAGCCACAGCGCTCGTCGGCGAAAGCTCCTGCAGCCGCAGCAACGTCCAATGTCCCGGCAGGAGGGCACCGGTAAGAAACTACCTCCGACTCCGACCAAGCCGAGCAACGTGGTGATCGGTCGTAAGCTCGCGTCTCTGCCTGCGACGCCGAGCAGACAACTGCCAAAGACCACCAGGACGCCCTCCGAGGAGAGCTACTACAAGTCCGACTACAACGAGGACTACAATTACGCTTACCGTAGTCAGGACAATCTGCCGCAGGACATGTACACGGAGAGCATCTACGGGCAACAGGGCAGCGCCGGCTGCGGCGTCGAGCAGCAGCCGGTGCAGCAGCAGCAGCAGCAGCAGCAGCAACAACACGTCGCCAACAAGGCTCACTACCCCGAGATTAGTCAGGTTAATCAGTACGTGACTGATTACGCGGCTACCACACAGGTCGACGACCAGTACGGTCATTCGTACCCGGAGCAGCAGCACGCGCAGCAAAATAGCTACGGGCAGCAGACGTACGCGCAGCAGAACTCGTACAAGGACGAGTACCAGCAGCAGCCGTACGCGCAGCAGAACACCCAGGTGTATCAAGAACCGTATCAGGACACGACATATCCGACCGTCGCCAGCCAGGCGAACGACCAGTACACGGGGAGTCAGCCGAAGAGCCAGTACGACAAGCCGGACGGCATGATAATCGAGGACAACTATCACGAGATGGGCTTCAACCAGAACAACGTGCAGTACCAGCAGGATTACAAACAGGATGTTTACCAAGAGCAGTATGACGATTACAGCGCCGTGACCGTGTCGTCGTCGAGCGTCTACGAGCAGAACAACATCACCAACACCTACAATCAGTACCAATCGGAGCAGTACGACTCGCAGTACAATATTAATACGTCGACCGATTATCATCAGAAGACTTATCAAGAGACGTACAATCAAGTGCCTGTTACGTCGCAGGAGAATTATCAGGAATCCTATACAAAGCAACCGGAAGACTTCGTAGATTATCAAACTCCGTACAGTAAGCAGTCGGACGTACCTACGACGTACAAGAATAATTATCAGGAATCTTACGAGGACTATCAAGAGTTGTACGACGAGTATCCAGACTCTTACCAAGGATCCTTCGAGGAGCAGCAGCGCTACAAGGATAGCTCGGCGACGACGACGACGACGACGACGGCTACGGTAGCCGCGGACAGGAGGCAAAGCGAAGTGCCTGAGCTCTCTGTGACCACGCCTAAAGGTCAGACGAGAACCAACGGTTATCCGTCGAACAAGTCGGAATATTTCTATCAGTCGCAAGAGAACGAGGACACGCCGCCGTTGGTGACCTCGCGGAGGAAGAGACTCGGCAAGCGCGAGGCTAGTCCGCTTCTCCAGCAGAACACCGACTCCCTGGAGTCGCGGGATGACGATCTGAAGGACTCGTTCGAGACCGCCGTCAGCTCGATCGGCAGCAGCCAACTGAAGAAAGGCTACGCCGAGTATTCGACGGCCAGCGGGAGTCCCGCGCCCGTCGCTTCGGCGGACTCGCCGCAGAGCATCTCGCAGATCCCGCAGACCACGATGGTCAATCACGTGACGATGGCCAACCACGTGTCCAGCAGCATGACCGTGACCGCGATAGTGCACGCCAACACCGCGAATGGTAAGCGACTGGCCAGGGCTGACTCCTATCAGGAGGATGTGATCGAAGACGACGAGGAGTACATCCCGGAGATCATCCCCAAGGAGCGCAAGGACTCGCAAATGTCGCATCACAGCCAGCTCAGCCAGCACTCGTCGACGCACTCGCAGAAACCGAAGCTCCTCAGAGGCGACTCCTACGGGTCGGACAACTTCCCTGAGGAGTACAGTCGCAGAGATTCGTACGCACAACTGAGCAGGAAAGACTCCTTCTCGAGCACGCAGGACGGCTTCAAGCCGCCCTTGATCAGGACCGATTCGTATCAGCAGAGAGAATTACGGGCGGGCAGTTACGGGCAGAACTTCACCGCGCCGCAGCCCATCTCGCGAGCGGAGAGCTACCAGCGCGGTCACTTCAAGGATCAGGAGTCGATAGATCAGAGCGACATCGTTCTGAGCAACGCAGTCAACGGGGACTATCAGATGCGGGACGAGACTCTCGAGAGGTAGGAGATCTTGGGGAAGCGCGAGACTGAGCCCGGTCTTTATAGCCCGACAGCATTCAAGGACGATTGAAGCTGTTTCAAACATGAGATTAGACTATCAATATGGTCCCTAGTCACCTTCCTCCAGGACTTGTGCCTGTTCTTTACTTGTATCCAGTCGTTATTTGAAACTTGTTTCACTTAAAAGTCTCGTACAGGACACTCATATTTGAGTCGTGAGGTCGATTCGCCTGAAAAATTCAGACCTGACCCTAAACTCTGATCTGCGTATCTTGCACACGATCCTCACGAGACTTGAAAGCTGCTAGAAAGCAAATTCCAAATAACGGCTGCAAACAAAGGCACATATTTCGGCGGGAGAAACATCCATCGATCATTCAGTTAACAAGTTCCTTCTCCTGTTTCCGCCGAAGGTACGAACGGGGCGAGGAAGCTTTGCTTCGTAACTCTCGGGAGGACTCACTGGTCGAGCCGTACAAGGCAACACCGCCGTTGTCGCACATCGACAGTCCACGTGGTAAGCTCAGCCCACTGATCGCTAACCTGTAGATCGACACGATCTTCCTCTTTCTTCTTCCTCTTTGCCCCATCGCCGGCGACTAATCCATCGATTTGTCGCAGGGAGCATAACGAAGCAGGCGTCCTTGGAAGAGAGCGTTCAGATGGACACTCCGCCGCGAAGCCCGCCCGAGCCGACGCCCGACGAGGAGCTGTTGAAGATGGTCGGGGCGGCGCCGGTGCCGACGCAGTTGAAGGAACGTCCGGGGATGACGGCGAGGCAACGCTGGCATTGGGCGTTCAACCAGATCATCCTCATCGGCATGAACGTACGTAGAACTCCGAACTCCTCCTGGAACTCACGCGATCAACCATAGCTCGCTGCTCTCCATTCCCCTCGCCTGTACGACAACCCACGAAGGTTAACTTCGCGCGCTATCGACGAAACGAACGGACGAACGCGGCAACGCCAGGGCGGGTTCGATCGATCGTCCCGGCGCGGGCACTTTCCGTTTCGACGGTCGACGACCGCGACGGCGACCTTTGGAAAAATGCGCCGATGCCGGCGACGCCCGCATTCTCGTCGCGCAATCTGTCCTTCGCGAGAGAGCTTCTGTGCCTCGGCCTTGTCGATGTTCACCTTCGCGCGACGTTATCAGCAACACCCGCGCGGCGACTCGCCGCGCTCATTCGCGCGTGAACTGCCGCGCGCGCGGCCGGAAGGTCGACATTGTCGACTTGGTCGGTGCGTTGATCCCCGAGTGGAATATATCCGTTGCCACGAGGCGACATTAGACCGCGTCGTATTAGCATAAGCTCCAGTTTTGCCACTTGGCTTGTACTTAACATGTACGTGCTCGCGAGCGCGCGAGCGCCATGGTGATTGATAGGGCGGCGCGTTATCGCCGCCCGCGGCGGCACGCGGCCTCTCGTCATTCGTCGTCGCTCGGAAAAATACCTGTCGCGCGATCAAACGGAATGAACGATTAACGATCATCGAAGCGCACGTGCGCGCTCTCGATATCGACCCTGATAAATGAGCGCGCAAATGTCACGCGGCGCGGCAACTGGCGCGCAGATAAGACGTATCTCCTCCGCGCCGTCGAGGGATGCGAGCGGAATAAACGTGCGTTGAATAATCGCTCGCTGACGTGCCGCGCGCACGTAGTGACGTTTTTTTTTTCGCCGGACGCTCTCCGCGGTTCCTCGGCAACGAGTACTCCGCTAATCCCACGGTCACGACATGCGCGCATTACCGCGCATACACGGCTCCCCGAGTGTTCTCTCTCCCTCCTGAGACCCCTTCGCTTAAAGAGCCCCTGCCCCCTTGGCGATGGTAAAAAGTTACGGCAGCGTTACGCTGTTCCTGCGGCCGGCGCGCGGCGCGGCGGTCTCCGGAGCGCCGGATCGCCCGACGCGAGGCTATCGTGCCGCTAATCGACGATCGTCAAGCCTTATTGCCGTGTGCGCTAGTACACGCGCTATTGATTTAGGTGCGTGGGCAGCGAGTGTTCGACGACGTATAAAGTATCGCCGGAATTATCGACGCCTCGTTATCCGACCTCGTAGCGGCGCCGCCGCCGCCTTAAAAGTGCGCGGCGTACTCGTCGTCGCGGTATCGGATTAACTCCTGGCTTACACGAAACTTCCATTAACGCAGTCTTGTCGGCCCACCAACGGGGAAACAGCAGCGGGATACGCACCTGGCGCTATTCCTGGGAGCCGCCGCCGCCGCCGCCGTTACCGCCGTCGTTACCGCCGCCGCCGAGCCGGCAGTCTCCATACACACAAAAACACACACACACATACATACATACAAACGTCCCGAGAAACTTTGGCCTCGCGGCGGAAAATGTAAATTCCTGTATAACCCGGGATGAGAGAAGGGGGGAGGGGGAGCAGCTGCGCGAAGCGGAGTTGTTTGTTCTCCGCCTCCGCGGACTGTGAAAACCGTAGCGGGAAGGTCGCCGCGGCGCCGTAATTGCCATAACCGACAACATTTCTAATGGCTGTTGATTTTCAAAAAAGAAAGAAAAGAGAACCGGGGAGAGAAAGGCGGCCGCGTTTGCGCTCGCCTTTTATCAACACATCGACAGCTCCTGTCGAAAAGTGAAGGATGATGCAGCCGGATGGGGAAGAAATTCGCAACCCCGCGGCATTGTTCGAGCGAGGCGTTTGACGACCGCGGGAAATGTCCCTCGCGCGTCGGCGAGGCGGACGAAACGTCCGGAATTCGCGCGCCGGTTCCTCGGGCCGGCTCCATCATCGCCGTCGGCACGCGCCGGAAGCAGCGTCCTCCGGCGGAACAATCGGCATCGATGTGTTGAACCCGCCGCCGCGAGCTATGCGTCCCTCTCAACCTGTCCGCGAGCTCTTTCATGAGAGTGACGCACACACACACACACACAAAGCAACGAGCTCGCGCTAGGTCGTCGCGAATTCGTCTCACTATCTGTCGCATCATCTCGGCAACGTTATGTGCGCGCGCGCGCTCGCGCCTGGAACGTCTCACGGTAAAAGCCCGAGGGGAGACTGCATCACCCTGTCAGTCTCCCTCCCCTCTCCCCCGCCCTTTCACCCTCGCTCTCCGCTCTCGCTTGATAGATTTCGTGAACCATCCCGGGAAGGGTACCCCGCGGGATAATTCCCGGATGTTTCTCATTTTCTTCTTCCTTTTTCCCCCTCCCCTCGCCCTCCCTCCCCCCTCCCTTTCACCCCCTGCCCCTCTTTATTTCGTCCGTAACGGTAAGAAAAATGATCGGATCGCATTAGACCGGGCTGATTCGGCCGGCGGTGAAATTCCTCTGTTGCCGCGCGGACTGAGCTCTCGCTAAAGCGATTTACAAGAGCAGGAGCTCTCTCGCCGCGGCTCCGCGCCGTATTTTTCCTCTCCCTGCTCCTCTGTTCTTACTGATAAAATGGCTTTTACGTGTAGACACGTTCTTATACTCGATCTCGCGGTGACTGCCGACGTCGGCGCCGACGCCGTCGAATATTACCACGCATGCCGGCGTGAATTCTCCCGGGCCGTCGCCGCCGCAGCCGCCGCCGCCCCCCCTTTCTTTCCCCCCCTTGCTTTCTTCATTATTCACGTCCAAAGACGTGCGTTTCCGCGAGCGCTCTATGCACAGCCGATCGTGCCGCATTTGATGCATCGCATCACGAGCGCGTCTCGGCGAGAGCCTCGCCGTCGTCGTCCCGTTGCCTGCGCGCGATCAATCGGCCAAGTCGAAGTTGTAATTCGCCGCGTATGTGAAACGCGAGCGCACTTATGCACACATACACACGCGTACCAAACAACGCAAAGTCCGCGTACCGCCCCCGCCCGCATCGCCGCGACACGATCTCGGGCTTGAATTTCCCTCCTCCAGCGGTAGACCGCTAGACCGACAACGTCGGTGCATCGATTGAATTTTACTCATGCACGAAGAGACGTGCATAATTAACGTAACATCAGCCGCATTAATATTTCGCACGTGCAATCAAGCCGAGACCCTCTCTCTCTCTCTCTCTCTCTCTTTCTCTGCATTTTCTCGGCATTTTAACAACGACAACAACAAGCCCACTCGTGAGCCGCACACACAATGACTCCGCCGCGGCGCGTTCAATCGCGCGGGAGCGCTTTGAAACTCGTCGTCGGCTCCTTTTCTCGCCCGCGCGCGCCCGTTCGGACGCGCGTTTTCTCGCGCGATAGGACCTCGCAAGTCGTGCAATAATCTATGTAGGCCAAGCCGATCGGCCACGTTGCAATCAGCAGCCCGTATGACTGCCGCCGCCGCCGCCGTCGACGACGACGACGACGACGACGACGACGACGACGAAGAGTCGACTCATATCACCTTCGCCGGCAAGGTCTCGCCTCCCGCCAGTTACTTATCGCGGTTGACGCGATGTTTGACGCGAGCTCAACGTCGAGCGGCGTTTCCCCCTCGGTATCGCAGTCGTATCCCGACGATTGCGAGCGCGTCGTCGTCGTCGTCGTCGTCGTCGTCGTCGTCGTCGTCGCCGCCTCGCGCGTCCTGCTCGGCGAGGGGCCTTCCGCGACGGCACGAGAGGACACTTCGGCCGAGAGCGCTCGGATTCTTCGGCCGC